GAAGGCAGACGCTTAACGACTGAGCCACCCAGGTGCCCCTGACCTTGCTTTGTGGCTGCTTAAAGGTATGCTAAATAAACTACTCTTTGTCCTTTGGATATAAATAGCCATATTTAAACAAGCGGTATTTTTCCCCCCAAAACTTTCACATCATTTCAATCCATTAAAATTGACTATGTTGACTAAATAGGACTATGTTGACTAAGTAGACAAATCAACAACAAACTTTTATTTTTATTTATTTCAAAAAAATATTTTGAGAGAGAGAGAGAGAGAGGGCGCCCATGGGCAAGCACAGGAAGGGGTGAGAGTGGGCATGGCAGAGGGAGAAGCAGGCTCCCCACTGAGCTGGGAGCCCAATGTGGTGCTCAATCCCAGTAAATAAGGTTAAGGTATAGGCAGGGAGAAGTAGGGGGCCCCTGGCTGGGCTCTGAAACTATTCCCGGCAGGAAGAAGTGCTAAGCCAGAGTGAACAAGGAATAAGGAAACCTGACCACCTGGCCTCCGATGTTAGGGAGTACTTTTCTTTGGTGGCTACACTGCATCATAGAAAATGGCCAAACCTCCAAGAATTAAGTCATTAAGGACGCTATCAATAGTCCATGCTCAAATCCAGATGGCACAAGAAGCTCAAGGCCACAAGCTTCCTGGTCAGTTCTCAATAAAAGGCTGCCACTAAAAGCCCTGTAGCAACCCTGTCAGGACCCCTCTCCCTCTAGAGAGCTTCTTCTTTGCTTTCTGCTCTCACCTTCACTTAATAAACTTTCACTTCGCTTCACCCTTTTGTGTCCGCGAGATTCATTCTTTGACTCCGTGAGACAAGAACCCTGCGATCCTCTAACACCAGGACCCTGAGATCATGACCTAAGCCCAAGGCAGACACTTAACCAACTGAGCCACCCAGGTGCCCCCAAACCTAACTTTTAGTACCAACATGGTACAAAACCAATACAACCGCACATTAGCCTCCATTAACTCTGTTATACTCGGTTCTCAATCCTTTGGAAATACAAAATGCTCTTGAACTTTCCCTGACACCTATTTTACATTTAGGGGCACCTCTCATCCCAACTGTTGGACATTTCTCCCTGTGTCCACACTCTCGACAGAGAATCAGAATCCTAGCGATAAGCATTTCAAGTCCAGAGTTTTAATCGGTGTTTCCCTCTCCCTTTGAATCTTTATCGAGAATTCCAGAGACTTAAAATAAGCAGCTGCAGCTATTCTAGAACATGCACTACTTGGCTTTTTGCTTCATTAACCTGCCCTAGTTTGGTGGAGACTTTGTCAGCCTTCCTCCAATGAAAATGTTCAATCAGCGACTCTAATAAGGAATGTTCGCAGTAATCTGACTCAGATTTTTTTTTTTTTTAAAGATTTTATTTATTTATTTGACAGAGAGAGAGACAACGAGAGAGGGAACACAAGCAGGGGGGTAGTGGGAGAGGGAGAAGCAGGCTTCCTGTGGAGCAGGGAGCCCGATGCGGGACTCGATCCCAGGACCCTGGGATCAT